TCGCTTCAGTGCATGGCTGCCAGCCGCCATCTTGGCTGACAGTTAATTTGCATATACTCACTGATTAGCCAATGAAAAGGGTAGCGGTCGTACGCTAATTACCATGTTTCTCTTTTATTAGTGTAGATTATTATTATTCTCTGTTCTCTTTTATTTCTTTCATATCTCTTGTCTCTTTTTCTTACTGTTATTTTGTGCTATATCTTTCCTTTTTTTCATTTTTTCACACTCTTTTCTTTTTCTTTTTTTAGCGTTTCCTTTGCCTATTCTTTATTGTTATTTTTTCTTTCCATTCTTTCCTTTCAGAATCTTTTCTCTTCTAGCATTCTTTTTATTTTATTATTGCTGTTCTTTCACTTTCTTTTATTATTCTTGCCTTTTCTCTTTCCTAATTCTCTTTTCTTTTATGGTTGTTTTTGCTGTTATTGTTGGATCCTTTTCTATGTTTTCCTTTCATTTCCTCTTTCGCTTGTTTTGTTCCATCAGCACCTGTACAAGAACTCACATGATGTGGTTGGGGCTGAGCCTCACAGTTATCCAGCTTTGGGGGAGAACACACCTATGAATGATACAACAATAATCAAGACCCAATTCTAACAGGAAAGCCCAAACAACACACAAAAGGGTCACTCCTAGGGCAGACAGCTCAGGAGTTTAAGGAGACTGCACCACTGGGTCCTATAGGACTATTATAACAAAAGGCAAATATTAAAGACAAAGAGAGAAACTTAAGGGCAGAAAGAGAGAGATGGTCAGTTACCTACAAGGGAGCTCCCATAAGGCTGTCAGCTGATTTATCAACAGAAACACTAAAGGCCAGAAAGAAATGGCATGAAATATTCTAAGTAATGAAAAGCAAGGATCTGAAACCAAGAGTACTCTATACAGCAAGACTATTATTCAAAATTTAAGATTAAATAAAGAGCTTCTAAGACAAAAACAAAGCAAAACAATACAAAAAAACCCACACTAAACTAAAGGAATTTATTACCACCAAGCCAGCATTGCAAGAAATGCTAAAGGGACTGTTGTAAGAAGTAGTAGTAGAGAGAGAGATAGGAACATAGGCAAAAAAGAATAAAAGTAACAATGAATAAGTACCTATTATAAGGCTGGGGAGTGTTGCGGGGGGAGGTGAGAGATCAACTGAAGGACTTGTATGCATGCATATAAGCATAACCAATGGACACAAGACACTGGA